CACACACACACACACACACACACACACACACACACATACACACACACACACACACACAAATATTACATACACAGGGTTACACACATATGAAAATAGTCTGAAAATTTGAAAAACAAAAAAAATGAAGAGAGATTTAAAATTCACCCTTGCGAGAAAAAACGTTTGCGTCATGGGAAAGCGAGAAATTTGGAATATGAGAAAAGTGTCGCGCTTGAGCAAAAATATAAAGCCTGCAAAACTACAAGACTCACATCGGGTATAGTACGGTTACCCGATCGGAACCTCTACCCGCCCGTACCCACCCCCTTTTTTTTTTGCCCACTTGTACCTGCCCATACCTGTCTATTTTTGTTTCTGGCCGCCCATACCGATTTTTTTTTTTGGTACCCCTACCTCTACCTGCCCCTACCCACCCATGATCTCCAGAAGGGGCAATTGTGCCCGCCCTAACAACCATCACCTTTTGTTTGTGCCTGCCCATACCCACCTCCCCCTTCGGAAGGGGTACCCATACCCACCCGTAACCTGGCGGTTACAGTCGGGTACGGCCGGGTACGAGTAACGGTTACCCGTTTGCACTCTCTGTTATATAGTATATACACATAACATAAGAAGTCAGGCTTTGTATCCCCAGAAGAAAAAAAAAAAAAAAAAACGAAGATGAAAGGACTTACTGTTGTTCACCAGCATGAGGTGTGCAAGAGATATGTACAATGTATATATTTATAAAACAAAAGAAGGAACACTTCGTTAAAGTTGAAGTTTATAATGTTTATTCCCAAAACAGAGAAGGCAGGCCCCTCAGCCCGGATATCTGGGGCACTCCAGAGCGTCCAGGTTGTGTGTCCCGGTCATCTGTTCTGGGATACCAGGCCGGATGCCCGTGTCCCTGACATTCCGACATTCAGACATTTGGCTGTCCACTTTTCGCAAAAGAAAGAAAGAAACAAACGAACAAAGAAACAAACAAAGATCGTACGGTCCCGGACAATTGGCAAACCACGTTTCAACAAGATGTGGTGATAATTCCTTCCTCGAGCTACCGTTCTTTGCTGTTGATCGCCGTCTTCACCCGAATAAAGATCGTATGGTCACTATCATTGTAACCTAGACTGAAACGTGGCCCAAATGCATCTATTATGACCAGGCATTCGATTATATTGGGATTAAGATGGTAGAGTTCGATGAATTGGATGCGATGTGTGTGAGAGGATCCACCTGCATCCACCTGGAGGTGGGTGGTTGGCATGGATGAAATAATCGGGTCATAAAAACACAAAAAATGGGATGTAACCTGGAGTCCATCTACCTTGCTTTGCTGTGTGCGTGGGTGGGTGGGTGTGTGCTTACCTTTTTCTGGCCCCCACTGGCTATTGTTCTTCATTTTCAGGTGCAACACATAGACTAGTCACTGAGCGGGTCGGTCCCTGTGGAGGCGTTGCAGGGCGGAGAAAGGTGTGGTTGCTGTCAGTTATGGCATCATGTGGTAGGTAGCCAGCAGTGCCAGCAGTGTGCGCTTCTTTTCTGTTCTTCCTCAATGCTATTCTTGTGGAGTGTGATTGGTCTAGGACTGTCTCATTGAAGAAAAAAATGCTGCCCTCTCTCTGCAGAAAGAAGGCCACGAGTTCATATCCCGATTCCTGACTGTCGTGTTATAGTCAATTTGCCCCAAGCAAGCTGTCGCGTCACTGCGAATTGTGAAACGCAACCACCAATCGTGAAGGCAGCCACAGCTCAGAAGGCATGAGTTCAAATCCTGGCTGTTGCGCGATGAGGCAATCGAAGTGAAAAAAAAAAAAAAAAAGTTGCGACTTCAGAATTTCAGATCCTGCTTGTTGGATGAGGCGATCGATCGATCCGAGAACATCACGAGTGCACATTCTGGATCTTGGGTAAGGCAATCGGAGTGTGTATGCATGTATGTATGCATATGCATGTTTGAGAGAAGACGGTTAGAAGGAAGGAAGGAAGGCTTTTCGGGAAGAGAGGAACGGACGAGCGGATTATTACGTCTTTCCATTTCAATATGTCTGTTTTCTGTCTTGTTTTTTTTTTTTTTTTTTAACTGGGCTTTCTTCCGACGATTTGTTAACTCTCATTTGCCCCAGAACAAGTTGAGTTAGTTAAGAAGGTTGAACTCTTTTTTAGTTTTTTAGGCGCCGTTGGTACAAGCAACATGGCTGCAAATGGGGCGCTTGTGACAGAGGGAACAGGTGTGCAGTGTGCACACATTAACTGAGTGCTGATGTATCGATCACGAGTTTCCAATCTGGATGGAACCGCAGGGATGCAATAAGATGCAACATGGCTGCAGAAGAAGGTGGCAATTTTGATTTGCTGCCTTTGCCAGGTGTTCGGTCCCCTTTTTGGTCGTTCCTTCGTTGGTCAATTGGCATGCCTGTTGTTGATTGGCCTGCACCAGCCAGCAGTTTTGTCATTTCGTTGAAGCACTTGGTATTTACTGCTTATTCCAGCATTACTTGCATTAGGACTTTGGTGGGTGTATTTGACGTTAAAAACGGCCAGATGCAGTCCCAGAAGTCCTAGTGTGTGTATGCCCTTGAGATCATGTGGTCATGAAGAGCTGGAAGTCACAGTTTGGTTGGAGTAATTTTGTGATCTCTTCTCTGTGTCGGCGAGAGGTATGGGGGGGGATGTCTTTTCGTTCATTTATTTGTTCTGTTTTTTGAGGGGGTGGGGGTGCGAGTCCTGCGACTTATTATTATTGTGTAGCTTATTTTCTGGAATTTTTGATCTCTCTCTCTCTCTCTCTCTCTCTCTCTCTCTCTCTCTCTCTCTCTCT